CTCCCCCCTCCTCCCCCCTCCCCAACTGCGGCCATTTGATTTTTTGGCATGGACTTGCGCGTTAGGGTGACTCGTCCGTCCGTCCGTCCGTGCGTCTCCCCCCTTTTCCCTCCTCCCTCCCTTCTGCCTTCTCCCTTCTCCCTTCTCCCTTCTCCCTTCTCCCTTCTCCCTCCCTCCTCCCTCCTCTCTCCTCTCTCCTCCCTCCTCTCTCCTCCCTTCTCTGTCCCTCCGCGCGCCATCCCGCCCTTGTCCACTCTGTAATTATCTTTTAAAGACTTAAAACAACTGGTAACTGGACTTTTTTTTTATTATTATTTTTTTTTAATCGACCGATGTTGTCGAACTCGCTCTCTGGGGAGCGCAGGCAGCTGTGAGCTTCAGTAGACGGAAATTATCGCTGTATCTAGACGGGAAGTTGGCCCAAATAAATAGGGCTATAATGACCGTACGTTCTACTCAGGGTAAGATGCGTAGGCAGCCGAGAATGAAGCCCCCCCGAAATGACAACTCCCCGGCTCTCCATAGATGGGCGAAAGAGTGAAAAAGACAAGCATGAAGGTGGAAGTCGTGAAGGGAGAAACAGTGAAGGGAGAAACATCCGAAGGCGGATAAGTGGAGGAAAAACGTGAAGGCGAAGACGTGCATGGAAACGCGAAGGTGAAGCAAATGGAGAAAGACATGAATAGTGAAAAGTTGATAGGAAAGGGAAAAAAAACGTACGATCGAGGGGAACTGTTGCAGAGCGCGTGTAGAAGTCGTACCTATGGAAAAATTATTGAAGATGACGCGCTGTTTTTTTTGTTTTTTTTTTTTTTAATTTAACATCATGTGGTCCGATGGACCACGGATCAGATATTAAACTGATCAGAACAGATACTACACTTTATCTTAGCCAGAAGGCCGAGAAAGGTATGACGCTCTGTTTTTGTCTTTCTGTTTTGTGTGCTTTTTTTCAGGTGCGTTGTCCTGTCAAATGCTAATGTTACCACCACCCTTCCCCTGTTCTTCTCTTCTTCCCTTTTGTCCCCGTTTCTATTGAGTAGATAGTACCACTAGTATTAACTCGAAGGAGAACAGGCGTACAGCACCGGTAGTACCCTTGGATTTCCTATTCCGCGGAAACCCTGGTTATCTGCTGCCGGTTAGGGCCCGCACTATTACGCTCGGAATTCTTGGCGGGATAATCAGTTGTAAGCGGATTTGAAATTCGAATGCTGCCGATACGTAACTGAACGACGCAGCGGACTAGGACGACGCGCGTGAGACTACGCCGGTATCTAGTGGAATGGTATAACGGGAGGGCAAGGCCGTCGGCCCTCTGTTCTCAGTTGCTTGGTCGGAAAGTCTGGTGGTGCCGCAAGGCGGATCTGGGGAGAAGCCCCCTGAGGAGTGAGTGCCAGGAGCGCAGCCTGGCCGAAACGCGTCGGGGAAATTGCGCGTTTTTTCTGAGAACTGTACATGCGGAGAAGAAATGTAAATCTGTTGATGAGTGTACAAGAAGCAGTCTATGGCCACTGTTTTTTCAATTCTTCTTCTTCTTCTTCTTCTTGTTTTGTGAATGTCTTTCCGTGGGGAAAAAGATAGAAGGACGAGTGGCCCGCAAAAAAGCAATTTGCCCTCATTGCTAGCGAAATATTGCTTGCTGGTCAGTCTTCCTTCTCTCTTCTTCCCCATGAAGAGGGGCGCGCGCAAGGAAGATTGACTAGTACAGGGAAATCCCGACGATTTGACAGAAGCTGCGCCCCCGAGATACATCCGACGATTTGAGAAATGAAGTCCACGTTCCGTAGATGAAAGGGAATGACGATCATCAATTTTAGAGGAATACGCTTGTGTGCGTGCGAATCCCGATGATTAAAATGGATAGGCAGATTAGATTAGAGTTGCCGTGAGTGTAGTATGCCTCTGTATTTTACGTCGTCTGTGATCCTGTCTAGAAGGGATTTGGGAGGACGACAACGATGTCTCTCTCTCTTTCTCTGGGTGTGTGTGTGTGTGTGTGTGTGTGTGTGTGTGTGTGTGTGTGTGTGTGTGTGTGTGTGTTG